GTCAGCAGAATCACGAAGTAGCTTTTCACCCGGCACCATCTCAACGGGTGCGTCCTGAGGCTCCGCGAGGGAACACTCCATGGTGCAGTCCACGAAGAAATTGAACAAAAACGAGGAAATTGGACAACCCTGAGAAACGTCACTTGTTGTCAGGAAGGTATCCGACAAATTACTGTAGAGCTTGACACAGCCTATAGCGTTCAAGTATGATGCACGTACAATGTTCACCTATTTCACGGGAACACCTTGCTGTGCGAGCATTTCGAACAGAGTGCATCGGTCGACTGAGTCGAACGCACTCTTGAAGTCGAGGAACACAGCGCTACGGTTCATGTGGCACTGCTCTACCACTTGCCTAAGTGTGAATATATGGTCTATACAGTCCCGTCCTAGGCGTAAAACTGCTCGGTCTTGGATCCTGACCAACTCCTAGCACAGCCGAGTCAATCCACAGGTCAAAGCCGGAAGAGCTAAGGTACTATTTAACGTACTATTTAACAATTTAATAACAAACCCCAAACAACTTTCAGACCAAATGTGTACAATATTTCGGCTCTCAAATACAACGTGCCGTTAACAGCAATGGTCAGCAGATAAGCACAATGAAGCGAAGCGGTTCTAATGTCAGCTTGGTTTAAAGCGAAGTGATCAATCGTCAATCGATCAGCCAATGAGCAGTGCACATGGAACACGGGCGTGGTGAGCGAATCTACGCTACTCGCTCAGACAATGGCATGTGTCCTGGACGAGAGTAAGTGTAAATGTCTGGATGAGAGTTCGGTCAGGCAAACAAAGGAAGTAGGACGGGACCAGTACAGACTAATGAAGCTGAGTGTGTAACTGGGCCGTATAACACGCACAAGTGGTAAGACAGAAAGCGGGAGTAACAAGCTTAACCATTGAGCGATGCAAAACGGGTAAACTCTTGTGGTTAATCTAGTTCCAGATGTGAACGAGAAACAAAGTGACTGAGGTTTTATTATGCAAAGTCCAATAAGCAATCAAGGGGTAGTGATTGGTCCTTTTGGAGTCGATCAACAGGGGAAATCTCCAGCTAGGTTGAACAAGTTAATTTGTCCGTTATAGCTCGCTATTCCGTGCTCCGGGATTCCTGTTTCGCTATGAGTCGACGAGCGAGAATTGAGGCTAGTAATTTTGTCAACAATGGAGTTAGGCTAAGGTCTATGGAGATAGCACAATTGTGGTGTCTGCACTTCTCATATCTCGCTTGTATGATTTATCCCACTTAGCTAGGATGGTCTCTAGCTCCCAGGTCTGTTCGAAAAGGAAGGTCAGTTCCTTGCAGAGGACCCTACAACTACCGGTAAGTTGTGTGCATGTAAAGAAATCCGCGTCCGCATCTCGAAAACGATTGTGAAATGTGATTACTTTTCGGACCTCGGATCATCCAAACATACCCCTTATGGCTCGACCTGCACTATCTGCACAGGAAGAGGTGCATACGCAGGGGGCAACTGAACGGATATCGAAAGTGCTCTACCAAAGTAGCGAGACGTTGTTCGTGTTGTCTCTGATTGTCCACCTAACGCTTGCTCTCCTTGGACCAGCTGTTCGGATCAGTAGAAAAAGTGTTTGATAGTTCGCCAGCGTCCTCCATTTCTTACATCCAACTTGTCCACTAGGCTTCCCAGTTGGCACACAGGCTCCGTTTTCTTTCGCGCCCCTCTTCCTCCGTCTGTTTCCATTGTGTTCAGAAGCAGCCGGATGTTTCCTTCAGTATTCTTACGTTTCGGATGTCTAGTGACAAGTGCCATGATCCCTGATAGTACCGCAAACAGATATCCTAACTTCGTGTGTGACGGCTGAGATCCTACTTCATTATAGTCCAATGTCATTAAGACGAGAGAACCAAAGTTCGGTACGCAGGGCATCTTCGTAGAATTGCCCGACCGGAGATTAAGATAACCTCTTTGTTGCCATTCCAGGGTTGGCGCTTGGTACACCTCGCGGTAAAGTCCATGGAAAAGCGCCAGTGGACCAAGGCACGACCAAAGGCGAAGCAAGTATTACAGAACGGTATAAGTAGAAAGTCGTCACATCTAGACTCACTCAGACAGCCGCCACGCCCGGAAAAGCACTGTACGCGCGTTTCATCCTTTCGGGAATCATCAGCAGTGCGCATTCCATCGGACCCTTGGTAGGGCTCGAACCCGCAACTCGAATGTTGCCAGTCCGTGGTTGAGACTACTGAGCTACGGGGGACGGCAACGACCATCGTGAATAAGTTACTAGATGTGATATAGCGGCGCTCACTATCCACTGACTTACACGTCACTGCTGTGATGAGGACAGGGTAGCCCCCTCACCAAGCGACGAGCTTACCAAACTTAAGCCGCCAATTAACTTATGGCATTATAGGCAGTTTGGTCTGGGTACTGATTACAGAGGAGTAGTAGGGGGAGTTGAATAGTATAGATAGAAGTTCGTCACATCTAGACTCACTCAGACAGCCGCCACACGCCCGGAAAAGCACTGTACGCACGTTTCATCCTTTCGGGAATCATCAGCAGTGCGCATTCTATCCACATACACATTATGGTACCATTATGGTACCATGCCACTTTTCACCTATAGCAACGTGATCTATCTGGGTCCATCGCTGGCCAGCTCTAGGGGAACGTCAAGTGGGATTTCGGTGCCCACTGTCTAAAGCGGTGCTACTAAGAAGTAGCCGGTGCTCCGCGCAGTTGCAGCAACCGCTGCCTGTTGTCAGTCCGTTCGGAGTTAAGTTTACACCTACGGCCTATCTGATCTTCTGAGGAGTCCAGACGACCTACTTGTGCATTCATCTCTCCCGCAGGAATAACTGTATCTGAACTGGTAACGCTTCCCCACCGCTTGTTCAGTTCGTTATAAAAGATGTCCTTGGCCGCACCAGAACTACAGTCGGTGGGGGCCTAATCTGAACCCACAAAAACTGCGCCTAGTGTTGATTGCCGGTCGTGACCCGGTAGCCAAAGCGTAGAGCTGCGAGGCCTGCTATCTCAACCTGATGGGATCTATTGTGGTCGGAAGGCGTCGTGATGTGCATCGTTTTTGGGCAGGAAACACTCAATTTCCATTTACAGCGTCTAGTACCACTTCGCGAATGAAATTTAGTTTTGTTATCAAACGGCTGCTCACTGGAATCCAGCCAGCGTTGACTCAGCCTTGTAGCTCAGAGCAATGCCGACCCTAGCTTTACCAGTTGTTGCCGCGTTCGCGTCTCCAGATGTGTACAACAACTACTTATAGCATAAGCCAGTGTAATTATTTCAAGGACCGCCTGAGGTATATTGATCATAGTCCCGGACACGCAACGCACGTCAATGCCCATTGTGTTCAACGTGCGTGCGAGTGCAATCTGTTGAGCTATTTGTTTCAGAGTGCGAACGTTGATGCCGCCAGGGAAACGGGACAACATTGCCTTATAAGAGTCCGTTGCCAATAGGAATCTAGTGGGTGGTGCAGGAAAATAACTGCAGCTGGCAGCTGCTGGGAATTTTAGGGTGAGGAGTAGTATAGGGGTCGGGCGGAATATAAGAGGAGCAGAAACGGACGTCATCCCATTTCCAGTTCCTAAACTGGAGTACCATTATACTTGGTTTTTCTGAACTCTAGCCACGGACCCACCTTGTAGCAGTGGTTCCCATTGGGCACTAGGACGCAGTGGGTCCGTCACATCACCTTAGGATGCAGTCCCGTTGCGATTGCGCGATTTCTCGTAGAAAGTCTTAGTGCATTGTGGACATGGGATAGAACCATAAGGATTCGCTCCTGGTGCTTGTCATCTGCATCTGTCGTGTGTATCAGTTCATGTCGTGCATGTTGTCTGTGTTGTTGTCGTACTAGGTGTACCTTGGAAACTACCTTCTGTAGATGTGTTCGCGTGATTCTGAGTACTTGTGGGTTGGTACTTTGGAGCTAGTATAGCACTACTTTTTGACACTTTTATCACAGTCTGTTGTGTTGTTCTCTGCACTGTTGGCTCCATCACACTGAGCGTCTCTTGCTCAGTTCTTTCTCTGTGTTTCACTTTGTGTTCTCGACCGTTTTGACATTTTGATGACCATAAGTTATTGGACTTTGCTTTACTCAATTGGTATATATTTCTATCGGACCACATAGTGGCCGATCATTTTTGACACAAACAGATTAGACATGATGTCTGCTTCCATTCACCCACGCGCTCACCTATACTTAGAGATTTGAAGCCTGTCGACTATAGCAAGTCATGTAGATAGGGGGATTTACGCCCTAACTTATTTGGGGATCTTCGCAGCTGCGGCGGTTCAGACATCTTTCCACGTATGCGGAAAGACATTGTGCTGCCGCTTCTTTCTATTTGGACCCTTCATTATTGCGCATCTCCGGGCTCCATAGAAAGTCCAACCCACGGCACCAGCGGCTTGTGCCACTATAGTCAGCGGCAAATACCACCAGGCCACTGGTGAGGACGGCAGATCCCCCATGGCTTATAAACAATGAGCTTACTCACCAATTCGATTTGCACTGCTCCAGCTATAATTTGCGGCAAACCTCATGCTGTTCGTCCTTTGCTGCACTCTAGTGCGTCTCTTGTCCCTCTGATCGTGAGGGGGATTCCAGGGACGGTCAGTTGGATACCAGCGCTCAGCCCCCAGCAACAAGTGTGTGTGTATCTGACCTTTCTGATATTCTTGGCCTTGAATGTATTGGTCAAAAATTCCCCCCGCTAATCGTCGGATACGATTGGGATACAAGTGATCCATTGTGTTTACCCAGAAACTCGCTAGGCTTCTCTATTAACATTGTATCCCATATGTTCGGTTGATGCAACTGGATGTGCAGTTTCTATGGCACCGTCCCACCTTTTGTTCCACTAGGTTTCAAGTAACCTGTATAATGCACACAGTGAAAACAGTGGTAACATTTCCATACTGTCCTTGAGCAGCATATACTGACGGGCATCTGACTATCCACCTCATTTTTCATCAATTTCCGCACTTTGATCCTCCTAGGCGTCCATCGCGTCTCACAGCTACTGTACCGGACAAGCGACCCGAAGACGATACTCTGTCTGTGGGTGCCGAATCCTCACAATCAGCACTTCTCAAGCAAACTAACGCTGACGGTTCTGCACCGTGTCCACCTCGAATCGTCCACTCTGGTGCGGTCATTTCTCTGCTGCACTTAACTGCGGCTGTGAACCGAGACTCGACTCGGACGATCCACCAATGTGCTGGGAATGAGCGATTTGATTGGACAGTATCACTTCAGGTATCCTTGATTCCCATTGGTTGAACCCGTAACCTACGAGTTTTACTCACTTGACTTTGATTGGTTCGTGCGGCCTATCATTTACCTACAAAACACGTGCTCTTTCATTAATTAGTAACGTTCATTTCTCTCATTTGTCCAGGGAAAGCATTCTCATTGCCTGTTTTGAGATTTTTTGTTACTCTTTTCAATGCCCAGGTGTAGTCAATCAGGCAGTAACCCCAAGGATGTGCCCCCTGTGTTTCGACTCATTTCTATCTCATTTGCGGTGTGGTCACTGGCTATGCAATCCGGTTTTGCTCCTCGATTGAGCGCGGAAATTTTTTTTCTCCAGTTCACTGCGATGACATCCGTTAAAAAACGGACGCAGTGAATCGGCCTTATTGCGAAGCAAAGCTACTAAAACTGTCGTGGGAATTCTGAGTGTAGTTCTATAGCGCTCTAAAGGTATTTCTACGTTTGCCAGAAGCAAGGGCTTTGAATGGTAACAAACGAGGGCAATATCGCCACAAACCTAGCATATAACCTTTTTCACGTGTTTGATAACTCTGTGCCTTTACCCGTGTTGTTTTCCGTTGAACCGCCTTGTCAGATGCATACGTACCATTTTCATCCTCCTTCGCGATGGCTCGACGTTAAGTTTAGAATCCCGATGCAGGCTGTAGGGATGTTTGCCTCCTGTACCTTGTCAATTCACGCATATCCTTCCGCCTTTCCCATTCATTTTTGTCCATTTGTTTATTCCTCTCTCTCTCTCTCTCTCTTGTTTTCATTACCCTTTTTAATCCACACTAGTAGTGACCTGGGAACTGGAAACTACTTCTGCCACACTGTGGGGCTCGGGCGCAGGGCGCTAAACTTTACTAGGTATAGATGATCGAGTAGGCCGCTCTCTGCTCCCGTCCCAGGTTGTAGTGAACATCCTCCTGTCAGCATCTGTTATAACACGTCCTGATTATTTCTCACTCCCCTATTCGGAACGGAGGAAACGCTCTACACCAGTGGCAGCCCACGCGCAGAGTAGCGCATCGAATTCGGTTCTGTACGACCGGACGTGATACACGCGAGCTGAGATGCGTAACCTTGCATGGCTGCACCGAGATCCAGACAAGAAAGACTACCTGACTACCGGAGTTTTTTCACTGACTCAGCAAAATGCAAAACAGTCCTTTTACACCGTCGTATTGACAGCTAACTTGTGTGACAGCGTAATGTTGGCAAGTCACGTGGATTGCCACGTAGTGGCATTGTCCTGAAGCAAGTTCCTTATATTCGCTGCGGCCTATGATGGCAGACGATACAGCAGCGTCTCTGGGATGAGGTGGAGCTGTAAAAAGTCGGTCCTTCAGGGACAAAACGTATATTCTGCAAACAAAGGGACCAGGCGAAAACACAGGCATCGGGCGAGTGAAACATATCGGTATATACAGCTAGTTGGATCCATACTTAACGACCTTTGTGAATGCATGACATTTTTTCTTTGATTCAGTCAAACAAACTCCAGCTGTTGGCCAATCAGCGTGCATGCGAGAAACGTGTGAACGTCCAATCAGCTGCCGCCTTTCCTTGCGGCAGCCTAACGGCTTCCTTGCTAGGCTGACACCGCACGTTCGTTCGAGTGTATACTCCCATCACATCCTCCCATTTTTCATGTTCTTGCTGCTGTACTTTGCTAAATATTCCATACACTTTACCACTCCGCGTCCTCTTTGTTGGATCTGCCGATGTCGCCTCATTGCCGCACGCAGTATAACGCTCTCTCCGTGATTCATGCTGTTGCCTCGGACATCTCCTCAGCTGTACTCGGTTTCTTCTCAGCTTCTTACCTCCAACATTTACTTCGTATGACCTTTCACCGACTTTCTCAGCCACGACTCCTTTTCTCCACCGCTCCTGTCCATCGGGAATTGGTTCAACCCATACTTCTTCCCCCACTGTCAGCTCAGGTAATTCCCGTGCGCCGTTGTCGTAGTACCGTTTCTCAGTAGCCATTCGCCTTTTCAAACTGTTCTGTACTTTCTCAAGTTGTGGCGTGACAGGGCGCAGAAGTGTTGCGGATGCAGGCATCACAGTTCTGGTCCTTCGACTGTATAGGCGCTGCACTGGGCTCAGGCCGATATCCGTTGAAGGAGTGTTGCGACTCTCCAGTAGCATGATGTATGGGTCCTCCCGAGTATCTCTAGCCTTCGCTAATAGTCGCTTGGCTTGCTTCACTGCCGACTCTGCCTTCCCATTTGATTGACTGTGATAGGGACTGGTTTGCCGGTGTGCGAATTCTCATTTGGTTGCGAAAGCCTGGAATGCCCTGCTGCTGAACTGGGGACCGTTGTCTGAGACTAGCTCCTCCGGTATCCCGTGCCGTGCGAATTGACATCTGAGTTTGTTGATTACTGCCTCCGTGGTAGTGGTGGTGAGTAAATCGATTTCAAAGTAATCACTATAGTAGTCCACCGTGAGTAAGTAATCCTTTCCGTTGTCCCAGAATAGATCCACTGCTACCTTTTGCCACGGTCGGTCCGGAACATCATGCAGCATCATCGGTTCCTTCGTTTGCCGAATGTCGTGTGAACGGCACGCCTCACAGTTGGACACATAATCCTTGATCTGACCTGTCATTCCTGGCCAGAACATCAGTTCTCTTGCTCGATTTATGGTGTAATTTGCACCCAGGTGAGCGCGATGGACATGCTCCAGCATCTCCTTTCGGAGAGAAGAAGGGATTAGGATTCGACTTCCCTTGAACAACAGACCGTCACAGACAGTGAGTTCGTCCCGAAAATTGAAGTAGGGTGTTAATTCCTTCGGGAGCTGCTTCTTTGTTTCTGGCCACCCATTGAGGATAACGTCTCGCAAAGCTGCAAAAGTTTGGTCTTCCTCCGTGAATCGCCTTATGTCTTTCAAACGGTTTTCTGTCACTGCCAGATGCTGCATCATGCTAACTGTCTCGATCTCTTCTATATGATGTTCGGCCACTGGCGGATGTGCTCTCGACAGGGTGTCCGCGATGAACATCTGTGTGTCAGGTGTGTACACAATGTCAATGTCATACTTTTGGAGCCGGATAAGCATACGCTGCAGACGGCGAGGAACGTTATTCAGTGGTTTAGTGGCTATCGACACCAGCGGCTTATGATCGGTGTACACGGTTGTCTTTCTTCCAAAAGTATAATCATTGAAAGCCTCCATGGCATAGACCACTGCCAGCATCTCTTTCTCGATCTGTGCGTACCGCTTCTCGGCCTCTGTGAGTGCTCGACTGCGGAAATCCAAAGGTCTTCCGTTCTGCAACAGAACAGCACCCATTCCACTCTGTACCTCCAATGGTTGTGCTGGATCGTAATATCCGAGTACGGGCGCATTACTGATAAGGTTCTTAATGGTTGCGAAAGCCAAATCCTGTTGCGGGTCCGTCAAAAATCCCCGCAAAAACGAGCCAGTAACTCCGGCATAATGGCTGTGGGAAGCGGAGTCCAATTTCTCCCCACAACGCAGCAGTGTTCAGTCACTCCGAGACGCGCCCCAACTGCACACCTTTTGACAATGCTCATTTGCAAACTATCACCTCTGCGTGGTGACTGTTTTCCCTAACTTAATAACCCATAGCACTATCTGTGATTGCCCTTTGTTGGTCGTAAAAGAGCCTACAGAGGACCACTTGTCTTTTCTTTCTCTTCGCCTCAGTTGGGAGTCGGTCGGATCGCGTGATTGCGTGTGCATCGTTAGCTGGCCAGCCTTCGCGTCTAAGTCATTAGCGCGCGTCTATCGTACCCCCCTCTCGTGTGCGCCCGTTCCGAGGGGTCAGCGTCTATCCGAACACTTGCGGCTAAGATCGGTCACACGCTCGCTCAATTTTCCGTCTCACCCGGCTAAGCTAGCGTCATCAGGTCAGCGCAACTCCGTACGATTGGCCAGCGACAATCTTATCAGGTGTTACGCAATCCATATCGAGAGGCGGCGTTCCCTCAATTATAACAAATCCTGTTCCTTCCCCCAGCTCCAATTTACTCCTTTGTGAGTTAACTGCCTAATCGGAGTCATGACATCAGCGAGTCCTGGTAGGAACCGGCTTAAATAATTCACCATACCGTTTAGGTGATGGATTGCCTTCACATCGTTAGGGGACGGCGTCTCTTGTATCGCCTTAATCTTCCCTGGGTCAACCCTGATTCCGTCGGATGTTAACACATGCCCATGGAAAATCACCTCCTCTTTCCGCAGCTCTATTTTCTCGCGTTTTAGCTTGATGTTCTTTTGCACGCAACGCCTCAGGAACCGGTGTAGCTTAGTGTCATGCTCTTCATTGGTAGAACCGTAAATCAGAACGTCATCTGCCACACAGGTTACGCCATCTAAATCATCTATTGCTTGCACCAAACGCTTTTGGAAAATTTCGCTAGACACCTTCAGGCCAAACGGTAATCGCAGCCAACGATAACGTCCGAACGGTGTAGCAAATGTGGTGAGGAAACTGGATTCATCGTCTAGAACAACGTGCCAGAATGCGGAAGAAAGGTCTACTTTCGTGCAAAACTTAGCTTTTGTCAAACGTGGTAAAACATCTTCTAACGTCGGTAGCGCATAATGTTCTCTACGCAGGGCCTCATTCAGTGGCTTCGGGTCTATACATACGCGTAGTTCGCCATTTTTCTTCGTAATGATTGCGACCTGGCTAACCCAGTCTGTTGGCTCATCAACCTTTGCAATCACCCCCTGCATAACCAGCTTGTTCAATTCCGCGGAAAATCGGTCACGTAGCGCAAATGGGACTCTCCTAGGAGGTAACGCAGTTGGGCGTACCAAAGGATCTAACGACAGGTGAGCGGTACCCTCATATTCCCCTAAACCCGGGCTAAACACAGACGGATACAGGTCACTAACATCGGCTTCACTCTGACAAGCGTACACAAAACGATCATGGTTAAAAATGACAAAGCCAAGAGATAAAATCGAATCAATGCCGAGAATCGGCGTGAGATCCTCATCCACGATCACGAACTGCA